GACTTGCCACGGTCTCCAACCCTCCTCCTTTCTCATCCGGGCTTGGGACCGGCCATGGCGGAGTTACATAATTATCTTCTTTTTTAAATTTGATGTATATATAAAGTGAATATAGAACTGGCTTAATATCTCGAATATTCATTATAGAGCTTGGCTAAAACTTTTTTTTACGAATCTTGACCAACATAGCGCTCATGTGCCCGTCGGAACTCCATGTTCCTGCGGGTTTGTAGTGTTTTCGAAATTACAATTTATTAGTAGTAAAGACGCCGGTTACGGCAGTTACCGATATTTGCATGTTCTAATATGTTAAATGATAAGTTTACTTTGCACCGTTCTTTTCTTTATATATCCCATATTCACTGGGTCATATACTGGTACTGTCCAAATCGATGTCATCAAAGTTCAGCACTGCTTAAAGTGATGCAAAGGCGGATTATAGAAGTAAAGCTAGCAAAATACATTATAGCCTTTACGAACAGCCATTTTTCTCATTTGGCCATTGCGAGCCATGTTTTAGAATATAATCGTGATTTTGATGTATCCAGTTCTCCAACATTGATAAAGATGTTGAAAGAATCAAGTTGTCAACAAAAGTATTTGCATAGATGTTCTGAACAAAACGGTGTGCAACGGTTGCGTTAGATGCTTTGACATAACTATGTCATGAAGTTTAGTACATGGTTTGAGTTGTATTTTATTCGTTTCGATTTTTTGTATTGTAACGTCAGTTTAATGGGTTTATATTTAATTCGGTATTTTACATTAGCCGCAGGACCTGACTTCGATCTTTGCGATTCGTGCCCCAGTTATGAACACTGACCTGTTCGAAGCATGGGCCAGAAAAAACTTTTATGACTGCATTTCGTGCCCGTAACCTTGAGTTCCTAATTTAGTTTGGGCAGTGAATCGGCTATAAATTTTAGATGAATTACAAGTAGTTTACAGATTTTGTTAGGAGCTCGGAAACGTTCTTTTAAGATGACGTCTAAGTAAGGAGAGTGCTGTTTTGAATGGAATGGATGCTACACGTGCTACGCATATTTTCTGCCTCTTCCTTGTTCATCTGTGTTGCCCGCTATCCTCATGCTCGATGTTGGCCCATCATCGGCCCAAAAGAGAAGCTCGCGGGTTGGAGTAGATGCGTTATACTTAGTCAGTTTTTCAAGCAAAGCCAAGCCCTTTTTTAATCTTCACGTCTGCGGAGGTCGCCTGTGTTCGAAGGATAATGCGATTCCTTACCTGTTCGTTTCATTTACCCCGCATTATGCGTCGAAGCCAACGCTGCTGTCTGCAATTCAGCCTTCGTCATTGGTCATTCATTAGAACAGACGTCTCCAGTGATGTACACCACCCCTGATTAAACTGTGGCAGGATACAGGCAAATTTTTATGGAGCGAGGTAGTCTTTTCTTAGCGCAGTTATTGATCATGTAACCACGAACACAGGAGGGGAGGGCGATATTCATATTCTGTTGTGACTAAATTGCACCGTGGCCGGAGATGTGAAGCCAAAGTACTTAAGTTAGTCAACTTCCCCTACGCATTTATCTGCTTCTTCTACTTGCAGATATGCCGTTTCTGACTGGTTTTAAAAAAATCTTTCGTTTTTTGACATTTAATCGGCTATTTTTGCTACAAATCAGAATGATATCGTCTACATTTTCCAGCCAGAAAAGTGTCTCCCCAAATATCTTGAATTGCGCCATACCTCTGAAATGAGACTTTCGTTTCTTGTTAGGATCAGCACTGTTTCAAAGTAGGGAGTCGAGATGAGCGTGGAACAACAAAGGCGAAAGTGCATGGTTCATTAGCATTCTTTAGAACATTGGTATGTTTGCTCCTTCGCACATAGCCGTTATCACCACTGTAGTAGTCGTTTATTGCAACCCATATGTTTAGTATATGAATGTTCCAGCAATGTTACTTATGCGACCATCGTTGAAGTGAGCAAAATGACGGATAGGCATGAAACGCCGTTGCTTTCTTCGTCGAATGGCGCGCGCCTTTAGTACAACAGTGCATCGAAGAGTAATCTCGTTATTAATGCTGGTCTTGTTTTCAAGTAAAGAGGTAAATTTGGTAGTGAACCCATACTATGAGCGAATCCTGAACAAGCGATGAAAGCGAGTGTCGGTTCAGTGGTTAGTTCGCAATCATTTGTTTATGCACACTGATGACATGTCAGTGATGTTTCGCAGTGGTGTACAACTTGTTCTAAGAACGGGGCATTTTTAGTTTTCGCTTTGAGAGGCTGTCACGTGATGCAGTTTAGCTGGCGTACCGTCGCCACGGGTGCAGGTACCAGCACAGGTACGCGGTCTGATATGTCGATGTTTTGTCATTTTCAGTGCTGTTCAGGGTCGACAACGAAACACGTTAATCTTCGCTATGACAACGAAATCGCTGTGATAAAGTTTGATTCACCAAATTCAAAAGTAATGATTTTTCGCGGCTGTTAGTTGTTGTGTTTGTCGTTCAGCTGTGAAAGTATCGAGAACGTTTCGCAGTTATGTTGTTGTGGTAAAAGTTATTGCGCGCATGTGCAAGTTGATAATCTCAAGTTTGGCTAGGTCGTATGATTTTTTATGCGTTACTCTCATGTCTTTCTAACGCCTGTTTTGGCAGATGCAGATGAAATGCATGGAACAAAGAATAAATTACGCCTTGCACATGAAGGTTGAATAGTGGACACAGGTGTTTTTTGAGTTAAGCAATTAATCCCTTCCTCGTAAGGTACAACCTTATATCATGAACATAATTCTTTCTTCATGTTCAATCATTATCCTAAAACCAGCGGCGGAAAGTGCGACAGAGCGAGATCAACCTCGTACGTAAATACCTCACGGCTAGTAGCGGAAGATCTCGAACCACTGCAGCAAGCGAGAGATAGAAAACTTGCTAAACGATGAATGGGGCGTATCTCACCTCTTTTGATGTCAAAATCTTACCGATTTTGTAAGGACGAAGCTGTAGAGAGAGTGGTAAGACATGCAAGAATATCAACGAAAGTCATTCTTGGCCATCCTCGGGATATTCGGTCAGTTGGTTGAGCAAGTAGTAGCTGTTTCGCCTACCTTTCTGGAAGCATTCACAAAGCACCAAGTCACAGCTGTGACTTCTCAGTTTGAAAAAGCAGTGACTGTACACAGATGACCTAACACCCGTCAGTTACCTAACAGCCACAATGGCTCCCGGTTACCCATTCGACGACTGAGCCGATGTAATGTTCGATAAGTGAAATACCATGAGGAGCAAGTGAGTAAGTTTTACGGGAGAGATTACTTCAGTCCCTAACGCTCATCTATTACCGTCGGGACTTTGAAACCATCTTTAATCGATTTAAATTTAACAGCTGATATCATCAAGGTACAGGTACTGTTGAATGTGGAGTAAGATCCGCGACAATCTTTTAGTTGAGTAGTTGTCAGTTAGGTCACACCTGACGTGGTTGCTTCCGCAGTATGGTTAACGACTACTTTTCCGGCCTCCTACTAGCTTGATATAGATATTTTCTCGCGTACTGCTGTCAGCCATATGCATTTGCACATTTTTAAAGCGCAAATATGCGTTTCTGTTTTATTCGATACCGGGTTTTCATATGGTCGCAATTTTAGCACAACCTGCTCAACGTTGAGTTTTTGACAGAATTTTATAATTGTCTGAACACCGCTACTCAAGACGAAAAAATTAAGGGAATAGTTTTATTGTCCGGCAAGCCGAAGAGTTTCATCGCGGGTGCTGATGTGAAGTAAGTTTTCATCCGTAACTGTTGGGTACGTTTTTGTCGTTTCTTCAGTTTACTGACACAGTGCCGAACGGTCGAAGACGGTACAGCACTTTCGCTGAGATGCCAGAGCGTTCTGAACCGGATACATACGAACCTAAAACCAGTGATCGCTGGCATCATGGGTTCGTGCATGGGCGGAGGATTTGAGGTAGCTCAAAGATTTGCCACTTACTAACCGTAACCGATTTATAGGCGTTTTTTGCAGCTCGCTTTAGCTTGTGACTATCGGATAGCTGTCAATACTAAAGAGACGGTCTTCGCCCTGCCTGAAGTAAAACTTGGTCTCCTTCCAGCCGCAGGCGGTTGCCAGCGGTTGCCGCGATTGGTAAGCATATTTTACCGGCAGTGACCTTCTAGTGCCTGTTCTGTTCTTAGATCGGTTTAGTAGAGGGTCTAAACATGATTCTCACTGGGAAAAGTGTACCAGCGATCACCGCCAAAAAGTTGGGTATTGTCGACATGCTCATTCAACCGTCAGGTATTTAGCTCGTGTTTCTAGCAGCCATACCCCGCTTTGATGCTGCAGCTTCAACTTTACTACGCTTTTCCATTTCGCTCGAACGATAAGGATATCATTAAAAGATGATGAATCATGGCAGCACAAACAGATGAACAACTTTTACTCTGATTTTCTTGGTAGAATAATAGGTCTATCTCGATTTTCGAGCGTAATTCCTTCCATGAAAACTGTTCAGTTAGCAAACATTCATGGTGAAATTTGTTTCAGGATAAGAAATTTTCGACTCCAAAGCTAGAAATCATACAGTCGAATCATAATAGAACTGCACTACTGCTGCCAGTGTTACTTTTTCGTGAAATGATGACTATTACTTATTTAGCCGTGTATTGCACCACAAAAGCGTTCAATCAGACAGGTACATTGTAGATAACTCTCGTTAGGATTACTATATATAATTCAAAATTATCGTCTGACGGGGTAATGGAATGCCACTGATGTTATTCACAGCACTCCTGGAAGAGATTTTCGAGGACTCCATTGCGAAAATCAGTGTCTGAAGGCATACGGACACTCCGATTTTAATCCACGTGAGGTCTCCAAATAAACTACAGCGAAAAACCCTAGAGCTGAACATACACCTGTATCCACAGTATGACTTTTTAGAATTAACTGCTAACTGTAATGTGGTACAAACTTTGCCTAACGTGCTCCACTCTTGAACGCATCGAGTGAGAAACATTATATAGTAAACCGATGATTTGCTAAAAATTAGAAGGCCAAGGTGCCCTGTTATTTGGTCATGGTGTTGCGGTGAAAGAATCGCCTTGAAATCACAGGGCGCAAATAAAGGCATGATGGGCACGAGGCGCACTGGTAGAGTTTAGTAATTGGCTTAACGCTCAGAAGGCAATAGAGAATATTTGGCAGAAGCATTGCGATGAAGACAACGATATTAGAAAATGTCGTGGTATAAAGAGTAGCGATTGCGTAAAAATTTGCTGTAGGGGTAAAGTAGAGGGATGAATAAAATCTGATGAAAGCACATAATGTGAAAACCTTTGTCAGAGCATCTGGGTGGAATGACTTAGTGGGGATATTAATTACATTGCTGTTGTTTGTTATTGTCACGTTTAGGTAACCATTGCTGAAAAGTTTTGTGATGTCTTACTGTTGTTGTCCCAGGCTCATATGAAGCAGCGAATGCAGCAGCAAAAAGCGATCATGTTCTTCAATGCAAGCACGTCTGCTTCAACATCATGTTTCTAAATTGATAGTATAAGTATATAGTAATAGTATTTTTCTTCAACACATTTCTTGCCATTGAATGCCTCCCTTGTGAAAGGCGTTTAGTACACATTTCCAACAATTTTTTGGGCTTCTATGAAACGGATCCAGTTACTCGTCCTTTAGTTAGGCTTCTTCAGGATCCAGTATGAAGCACGTTGAAGATAATTCCTATACAATGTTTCTAGCAGCCTACAGTCGGTCAGTGTCATGCGCTGATATTTTATCGTTCGGATCTTGCCATTACACGAAGTGAGAGAAAACTGGATTGTCAGAAACTAACGCTAACCAAAGAATTGACATCATTTACACTACTACTAAACGTTTAAAAAATAATGCAATCATTTTTAATTCTGTTACCCCACGTTGTTAAATTCTATAATCGCATAGTGAATGGACATCCAATGTTTTTCGATTCGATGAAGCAACAGAAAACATGAATTTGAATATTGGAGCATACTAAAATAACGTCTTACTCCTCCAACTACCGCATTTCATGTTTTGCGAAAGAAATACCTACCAGCTTCCAAAACACCGTCGATGACGAGCGAAATAGTCGTGCCAGTAGAATGAGACGAAATTTGTTTGGCACTGAAAATGCCAGAATAACTGCGGTCTGACTGCTTAAATGTTTCCCTATGTAACTTGAGCAAAGGGGTGTTAGAGCAAGCCGTGAAATTTGCTCGTTAGACCAGTTTTCACCTTAATACATTCCGAGCGATGACTAGGTTTTACGTAAAAGATGGCGATCAGATCCTCATCGTCTGCGGGCTCGGTCGTCGCCTGGGGTTACCAAAAGCCTTGAAGGCTGTGGGGGAACTGATGGCCACTGTGAAAAGGTGGCAGTCAAAACCTGCTTCCCAGCTTCTGCCAG